AACCCTGGTTATTCCAATGTTATTTTTATCCTGGAACAGCCATTTCTACTGTATGAGAAAACTGTCTGAACATCTGTACACTCATGGATTTTTCCTGGGATAGCAGCAACTCTCCTAGGTGAAACTGAGTGTCTCTAAAAGGCCACAGATTTTGAGGGAGTGGGGGCGTTGGGTAGAAAGGTTACTGTGACAGATTAAAAATAAAAAATACATTTAAAAAAAACCCAGAAAATGACTGTCATTCTGCTTAGTGTCAATATCCATGACTGATAATAAAATTAGGGGAGTTCAGTGAAAACAATTAATAAATCATCAAGTGCTGCTATTTAGGCACATCCTGGCTGAGTTCTTTGTGCTGTATGTATAAGTAGTATACATGAACAATTCACAGTCCAGGGGAAAGTGGCTAAGGTGATTTTGCACTGCCCTCCTACCTGCACCCCACCCTCAGGTTGCTAAAGTGCCTCCAGAAGTCCTAGGCGTAACTTAGGCAGTCCTGGGAACCAGTCTTAAGTTACAGCAGCCTTGTCAGGCTATCTTATGAAATATATCATTGTGAGGAATGGCTTCACCCAACTCCATCCTTCCTGCTCGCAACTCTACCATGCCTAATGTCAGCCGCCCATGGCAAACAACTCTTAAAAGCAACTATAAGGGTTTCATCTACAATTCCAGACCAGATAGCTTCTTCCCCTGTTCAGTACCCTTTTAAACTGCTTTGGTCCTTCCACCTGACGTATGGGAACTGGCACAGGAGCGAGACTCTTGTGCTACATATACAGACACACACGAAAGTATCCTTTCCCATTCATTTTCAGATCAGTAATTTCAATGATGCCATTTGCTCATAAAACAATGAAAAAGTGTTAGTTAAAATGTTGGTCTAAATCTTACTTACCATATTATACTATTATTTATTTGAACAACCATAAAAAGGTACAGAAATTTCTGTAATGCTTTACTTCTCAGGGGGAAATTTACATCACTAAAAGTATGCTATTCATGTGTTTGAAAAACAGAGAACAATTGTCACCATTGTAGCATGCCACTTAACCATGTCCTTTTTCAGTTTGGTAAGTTGCAACTTTCGAACAAGAAAAGCTTAAACATCCCAGAATTACTTTTTAGAAAGACAGAAATTGTCTTTCCATCTCAGAGTTTCTTTGTTTCTGTAGTAGATGGCAGGGAGCAATAACACTTCCTTCAGGGAAAATATGGATTAATAATGAATACTGAGGAAATTACACTCATGTAAGCCTTGCTGGATATGAAAGTGTTTCTCAACAGTTTATTTTTGGAATGCTGGGATCACTCAGAATATTCAGCACAGTTTTATCAGACAGCAAATTTTAAAGGTCTTCTAATATGATTACTTCAGCTTTTAATTAGGTGATGCTGAAATATCTGAGACGCAACTCCTAAAACCTACCTGGCCAGATATAAGTCCATGCATTAAAACTGCATTTGGAGCTGTGAATCAAGGGACCACTTAGCATGAAAAAAATCTAATATTTCATTTAACCTCATTTATTCAGAATCTAATATTTGTAATATTGTAGGCCTTGTGATCCAGCAATATTTGTTCTTTGTCTTTATATTTTAAAGAATTTTATTATAAAACTTTCAAGGAAAAAAAGGCTGCAAAGAATTTACAGTAACATTTAACTTTATTTACTCTATTGCTTTGGAGACATAGGAGCCTATAAGATTAATTATACCCTTGTGATTTTTGTGGGGTGGGGGGGAGCCTCACTTTCTTTTTCCCCATAGCCTGTCAATTCTTTGCCATGTAAAACCTTAATTTTATCCAAAATTCACTTAATTTTCCCTTTTTGTTGGGATTCCACAGGCTCTTGGCTTTCTCAACTCACCTTTCTCAATGCGTCTTCCATTCTAAACACTGTTTTTAATTTCCCTTAATCTACCCTTGCTGAAACCTATTTCCTTTCCTTTCCACAGCCCTTCTGCATTTATAGCTATGCCTGTCCTCTTTTCTGAACCATTCTCTTTTCTGTATGCTCCACCAATCTCCATGCAATTCTTTTTGCTCACATGCAGACATCTTTCTGGAGGCTGAAAAGGTATAACATGAACCATGTATTCAATGATACATTAGTGGTCACTTGGATACACTTCAACAAAACCAGTTTTGTGGAGGCCTGATACAAGAACAAACTGCCTAAGAAGTAGATCAGAATAAATAAAATCTTATTTTCATGGAGTTTTATTTTTATAACTTTACTTTTGAATGAGTACAATCTAGTCATTGAAGTGTCAAGAGTTTCTGGTTCTGCTCTTAACTCTGCCACTGCACTGGCTTGCTGCTAACATTAGCAAGTCACTTTTAAGAGCCATTTATTTTTTACGCCTTCAAATTTGGGGTGCCCTAAACGAAACAACTTGAAACTTAAAAAAAATATATAAAGACACCTATTCAAAGGAATTCCAGGTGCTCATCATCTCTGAAAATCATCCTGTATCAAGCTGTGCAAGAAAAGACAGAGACATGGAAAATAAGATGCTTAAATCATGATCTTAATTTACTGGCTTCAGTGCCACAATAGATGTCTCTTCCAACTTCATTGTTGCAAGGTGCTTTGAAATGTAGCACCATGCAACTTCCATGGTGAATGGAAGACCTAAAATGCAAGGGCCTTAGGGTTGTTGGGGCCCTGGGCAAGAGAGTCACTTGGGGCCCCTTATAAATTAAATTTTGATGACCTATAAGCAAGTCAGACATTTTTTATTTCAATTTCACTTTGCCTTATCCATGAAAATGCAATGAAAGTATCTTAATACAATATTGATAATACAAATATTCACGGTAAATTTTATAAAGTGTGGGGCCCTGGACAGTCACCTGGTTTGTCCTCCCCTAATGCCATTACTGCCTAGACCATGAGGAAAACAGCCCCCAGTGGCAGGAGGGCAAGTGAGGACTGATACAACCTCAGTTTCCTTGTGGTCACTTGCTGCTCCCTGCCCCACTACTACTTCTGCTACTGGCCCCGCCACCACCCCTTACCAGAGCCACCACTCCTATATGTCCTATGCTGGGAATGCTGGCCTGGGCCAGAGCTGGTGTGGAGTATCTCGGACCAGAACAACTCCATGCCCTGTGGTGGATCAAACCCACATGGGACCCCAAAGTCCAGATCCAGCCTGGGGCATGAAGTAAGTTTGACATCCCTGGGTCACAGAGTGAGAATCCCTGTTCTGAGTGCCCTTATGATCCATGTATCCCTTTCTGCCCAGGAGGTTCAGCTTTAACAGCCCACAGTCTAGTGTTTAGTGCAATTCCCTGGAAAGTCAGAGACGCAAGTTCAAACCCTTTGAAGGAGGGCCTAGAAACTGTATCTCCCAGTCCTTGGGTCAGAGCCTTAATCATTAGACTACTGGAGAAATGTGTGTACTTGATCTCAAGTCCAGAAAAAAACTAGGGGGTGGTGGGTACACACTATATTTTAAACCCAGAAGCTAAGTGAATTAGGACAGGAAGCAGAAGATGTAGGTTCTAGGTCTTTCTCACCCAGAGGGCATCTGAACCTGTACCTTTCCAACTTTCTAGCACATGGCTCTGCCACCACACCACATACCACCATTGTGTGCACTATCTAACCCCTCTCTAGGACCCCTCATGAAGCTGAGCCAGTGGTCCATGCATCCAAAAGTTATTAGCTAAAATGGACATAGGGTAGTGAAGTGAAGAAGGCTGTAACAGATTGGCAGTAAGGGTCAAGGCTAGAGCTTTCAGGGCAGCTGCCATGTTACTAATTTGCATACCTTCAACCTTGCACTCTTTCTTTTGTTCCTTTCTTGGCTACTCAGGTGTAAAGGGAGCTATAAAATGAACAATGGAGAAGCATAGGACCTAGAATGGGGGTGGACAATTATTTCAGTTGGAAGGCCACTTAATGAGTTTTGGGGACCTGTCAAATGCCACATCAATCTTTCTTTCTCTCTCTCTCTCTCTCTCTCTCAGCATCTTTCTTCTCTTTGTCTCTCTCTCCTGCTCCCTCTCCATCTGTTTCCCCTTCATCTCCACCTTTACCTTCCCCTCCCTCCCTCCCTCCCTCCCTCCAGAACCTGGACAGAGCTGTAGTGATCCAGAAGCTCCAAAGCTGTGTGGACCCAGACGGGGACTTCTGCTGCAGCAGGCAGGCAACAGCATCAGCTATGGACCCAGCCAGCAAGTTCCAGATCCCTATTGCAGAACCTGCCAGAGGTGTCACAGCTGATGCTGACTCCTGCCCAGCAATTCCTATAGTAAACAGGCAGAAGCAAAATCTTTCAAGTGTATTAGGGCTAATGAAAAAGCAGAGGATTGAAAATAATCTTAGGAACTCTGGGGCCATTAGAGTAACTGTGTCAAGTGGATGCACGTGCACATGCGCACACGTAGCCAAACAAAAAAAAATATTTACTCTTGTTCATTTTAACTGTGCATATGGGGAGAGACAAAGAAAGAAACATTTTTATGCAAATTATTCATAGACTAAATATAGTGTAAGCCATGATAATCATTATGAGACAGGTCCAGATTTTAACTCCTGATAGTCACAGCACATGAAAATGAAGGAAATCTGCTAACAGCACATTTTTAGAAACAAATCTCAGCCTTGGAGAACTTCCCGTTGCTGAAATGTAAGTATTTACCAACCTTCTGAACCAATGCTCTTAAAACTATTTGTGGTATATCTGTACTGATTTTGCCAACAGTCACTATAAATTTAGAATAGCAACTGTTCAGTCTCAAAATATTATTAGACTGTGGTGGACAAAACATTTGAAAGTAAGAAATCTCCTATTGCTTCAATTTCCTTCAAATACTTAATATTTTCCTCTGGGGAAGTAACTTATGTTTTATCATAATGATTTCTATTTGCTTCTGGAGCATGAGTCATGCTCTTCAATTACTTTCAGTTGATTGTATAATTATTAATGTGAAAAGGGTTTGGATAGTCTGTGCTCAGTACAGTTTTATACGAATTTCAGCTTACCTTCAGGTGAAGAACCTGGTTTATGAGAATATGCAGAGCTTATTTTACTCTTCTTGCTGCTGTCACTGTTGACAGACAAGCTGGACTGAATTTTCCTGTGCATTTTTTGTGAAACAGGTGCTGAAAGTTTTCTATTATCTGTAGTTGCATGCTTCACCCCATTGTGAATTCCATTTCCATTACTCAGACCTGCATGGCCATTTTGTATCTTGCCAGTTTCTTCTTCACTCTTTTCCAGTGATGAAGTATTTGGCTGAGGCAGGCGTTGAGGTTGTGCTTAAAATAAAAAAGAGAAAGAGTTAATTTAATTGTAAATTGGTATCTGAACAGACTGAGACCTGATTGAGAAGATAACTTTTTATTGCTTGTATTCAGTGACCAGAGATGTGATGGAAAAAGAGAAGTTAATGAAAAACATCTCTAGACTAAAAATACTATATCAAACGTTCATAAAATGTCATTAATGGGAAAGGCAAGGATTTCCTAGGGTATGTTTTATTGGACCAACTGTGTAGTTGGGATAACGTTAGACAGGTTTTTGAATGCAAGACATTCTTGTGGCATTTCCAAAGTCATGGAACAAGACATGCTGCCCGCCTTGAACAGCTAAGAATTTACCTTGAGTAAGCAGGAGAAAGCAGGAAGGAGAACTAAGAAATCAGAGACCACCTCTGGAACTGGAAAAAAGCTAGGAAGGTAGAATACAGGATGTCAGAGCAAAAGAAAGAACAAAGAAATGGGAAAAGAGGAAGTGTTATAATAAGAGCAACAGTAAAAAGATTAAGAAGAACATGGGGCAAAATGCATATACCAGGAAGGGTAGAAGTGGAGGGTAATGAGAAAAGAGATACAGAAATGAAATGGGAGAAGTGGCACAGTTGGCCTGGAAAAAAAATAGTCCAAGTGACAAAGCAAAAGGAGGCCAAAAAGTCAAGACAAACCAATCAGGAAACGGAGAAGACTCTAACTGAGCTTACAAGAGTCTTATTTAATATTGAGAGTCATATTTTCTTGGGAAAGATGTGGGATGAAGGCTTCATGGACTTGGTTGCAAGCAGCTGGTTCAACTTACAGTTGCAACTTAATCAAAAGGCCATTAACTGATGCACAGAGAAAAGTGAAAAACCCATGCAAACTGCAATTTCTCAATCCATAGTCACAATTTAAAATCAGTTAAAATAAATAGATCAATAAAGTTCTAATACCTACAAGACAGAACATAGTGCATAAACTGTCCAGAATAGTATTCAGAATAAAACTGTATGGTTACTTCTCTTATACATTCCTATTAATAGGAAATCTGCATAACTTAGTATTCTCTTGGAATATAATATATAAAACAAACAAGAAAGCATTTTTTTTTTTGAAATTCAAAAATATGTTTTTCAAGGATTTTTAAATGTGTATTTCAGGAAAAGTGGTTATGCTTCATATGCTCTTAATTTATAAATTGTTTTGAAACAAAAGTATTGGCTTCCAATTTAGGCAACTTGCTTTACCTTGGAAAAAAAGGATCTATAAGATTTTAAAACAACGTAACCCATGTTTACATTTACATAGTGATAATGGATCGTATAAAATGCACTTGCTTAAGCACCTCCACTAATCTGGCATCAGACCTGGGAGTGAGATGATGTTTTGGGTAGTGAGGTCCTAAACCACTCAGAGATTTACAGTATAAAAAAAAAAGCCTGAACTCCATCTGGTGATGGATCATGGAGCACCTGCAATACACACACACATAAGGTTCAGCCCTACTTTATAAACAAACCTTCTCACTTGCTCCAATTCCTAGATAGTCTGCAAGTATAGATGTAAGGTGAAGAATAAGATGTTAACCTCAATACAATAAATGGCATTGACACTTAAAGGAACAGCTGCAATTGAAGGAAAGGGCAAACTCTCGTCTCCCCAGGTGCAGAAGATGTGAACATTTGGCCTAATGTTCTGGGCATATGGGAACACTACAGCATTCAACAAAAAACCTACCTTTTAAAGACTGCCTAAGGATTTTTTTGAGTGATATCTTTTATTGGACCAGCTACATAGTTGGGATAAAGTTAGGCAAGCTTTCGAATGCAAAGATGCAGAGGGATGTTTTGCATTCAAAAGTTTTTCTAACTTTATCCCAATAAAAAATATCCAATAAAAGATAATACCCCTAAAAATCCTTACCTCTCAGACAATTCCGAGACCATCACAGCTACAATATCCATCTAACACTTCCAAATACTGCCTAACAAACAGCAGGCACATTTCCTTCTATCAAGAGCAAGCCTATAGCCTGCCAACTGCTTTCCCTAAAATACAAGAATGATCTAAATCTGGTCCTAAACCCTCATCCCAGTCACAGCTTCATTCTAGCATTAAATCACTACTTTCACATATCAAAGCTAACTAAAAAGAAGTGTGTGTGTATATGCGGGGGTGGGGGGAGGGGGTAATTACAGATATATGTGCACGCACACATGTACACAAAAAGCAGTTCAACTGAGTCCATTTTAAAACGTTTTTCTACCCGTGCGTTGGCAAAACATACAAATTAAAATTTGGGAATAGTGTAATGTGTACTTGAACCAGAGCCATCCTAACTGAACTCTCAATGGGCAAATAAACACTTTGCAGGGATACAGAATACACATCATTTATAGCCATTTTTCAGAATGCTTCTACTTATCCTGGACTTGCATGCCTCTCAATCTTTCAATGATATGAAGTGTTTTCTATTATTTAATTCTCTCCCTCTTTGTTTCTTTAAAATTACCACACACTAAGATGTGCAAGCTGGAGGACTAGCCTCATTAATACAAAGCAGACAAAAATGCACAGGATGAAAGACACACAAGTGCATGGTCTGGGGGGGCACTAGCCTGGTGAAAAACCTAACCTCCTGTAATCCTTGGCTCCAAGGTAATGTTACAGTACTTTGCCTTTTTTTAAATCTTTTCTAGTGCCCTTCCAAACCTAGTAATGGGTGGTGTGTATCAGACAGTGATTATGCCAGGCTGCTGGTCTGATGCAAAGGAAGGAAAGCTTAGGTAGAAGAAATGACTCCATTACACTATTAGTGGTCACCCTGCCTTTATTCTTGGGTTCTTCTTCCCCTGAGGACTTAAAGCATCTGTTTCTACAGTTGACACTCATGGTTTTGCAAAGCAATAGAAACCATGAAACTGACATGACTCCTGATCATTTCACAGTTGCCTGCAGTCTTGAAATTAACCAGTCCTTCTAATTTTTGCTCTTCTGCTTGGAAAATCTATCAACAACAGCATAGGCACAAGAGGCTGTTCACAGATTCTGGAATTTATTTCTGTTGTTATACATTCTGCTGACATTTGTAAACAACTGTAAAGGGTCTATGCAATAAATTGCATATGTTTCACTGACATAACAGAAATTCATTGCACATTTAAAGAACATTGATTCAGGGTTCTCAAAGCATTTTCCAAAGGTGACCTTTCCACTTTACAGATGGACAGAGGGCAAGTTGGCCACAGTCATGCAAGAATCAGTAGCAGATTCAGGAAAAGAATTTGTGTATGTGATGTGTGCGTGCGTGTCCATGTGTGCACGTGGTATCTCTCTTCTCCATCTCTAAATAAGATAAATTAAGAAAATATTAGTAATCCTTTCCACATTTCAAAAGGTAACTTAAACATGCTTCACCCACTTATATTTCCAATAGATACGTATGTTTCCTAGGAGGCAAAACTACCAAAGAATATAGCAGCACCAATTATCCAAACTTGCTTGGGAGGGGTTAATCTTCCACAATAAATAAAAGCAATAGAATATAGTAAGAATTCTGTGCGTCTAGGCACAAACTTGCTAAAATTGACAGTTATGACCTTTTCCAAGCCAGCTAAATTGGTGGTCGTGGCTTGCAATTGTTTGTGTATGTTTGGAGCTTTATTACAATACAATAACTTGACAAATTATCCAATCTTCAATCTTCAAAATTAGGTCTGTTTCTGTCAATTTGCAGGTGATCAGCAAGTCTTGGGAAAACTAAGCAATACTCAGTTATTTGTTTTAGCTTTCTTTTATTATTATTTTTACTAAGGATTTTTTTATAATAATTCTGTTCCCAAAGTACTCTTACTTCATCCTTTTAGTATTAACATACAACTTTTTAGCTGACTGGCTTTGCAGTATTCACATATGATATGTAGGTCAAATCAAAACTGAATAAAACCCCCAAATGGATTAGTTATCTCAATTTAAATTTATTTTAACTTTATTGATAATTTTTCACCAGGGAGACTTGAATCTTATGGTTAAAACACACTTGAAACCAATTAGGAACCATATGACTGCATTCTAGCATAAAGAACAAAAGCACTTGACAGTTCTAAGATTAAGCCGCAACCATGTGGTTTAAAACAGAAATATTTTTACCTTATTTTTTAAAGGTTGTGTATATCTTAAAAAAAAAGTGTAATATGGGAAACGACACAATGCTTCTTAAAACACAGTGATACCCAGGGACTCTCACTCTCCCTTTAATGATCCACTGCTCTCATTCAGCTGTCTTTCTTTTTTCAAATCTTTACATATGTGACAGCTCTCAAAAGTAGACCATAGACCATCTGGCATTTTCAGAGGTGTAACTTGTGCAAATTCAGCTCTACTGGGAACACAATGCTATCTTCTGCCTGCGTTATAAAAGATACAATAGAATGTAGAACTTATGAGTTGTTTTGAATTATTCATTTTTGCCTGTATATTCAAGAAATTTTACAAACTCTGCATTTTGTACTACATAATCACATGCGTTAAAGGTACAAAGAAACTTTTTGACACCTCTTTTCTACAGAAAGATGGCATTTTGTTTGATATGTGAACATTCAGCGTCTGTTATATCATTCTAAACAGGCCGTGTGCTGATACAAAAGACCCCATTTTACACTCTATGTATGAGCAAAAATTTTATTCTTGATATTCAGTAACTAATGCAATACACATCAAAATTTCAAATACCAGTTGTATGAACATTCAGCATCTTCAGACTTATGATGGCATTGGTCACCTGCTCTATGTTAAAGATATTTTTTCTGAAATCATTTCTTGCACAACATAGAAATATTGTCATTTTAAACATCCACAATGAATAGTTTCATATGTCCTAAGAAATACAGTGCTTTTTAGGTTAAAATGTTTTCAATCTGTAGCAAAACCAGTAGATTTAGGTCAATATTTTATACAGTGCTAACACTAGTGAGTTTTCAATAAGAATGATAAATATTGGATTAATGATTCAATAGAGTGAATCT